CTCTCCCATGGTAGAGCATGCTCAGGTGTCTAGATCCTGGGCGACTAAGGTGCCTAGATTCTGGGCACCTTCGGCACCTCAGTTGCTGCTGAGCCATGGGTGAAGGCAGGTTTCGTAATGGTTTGTCCACCCCGAGACTGAGTGACAATGGTGCCCAGGAACTGGGCGACATTTGGCACCCTAAAAAGTGGGGCGGGCGACAAAGGCACCCAGTTGCTGGGCACCCTACATTTAGAGTGTACCTTTTCAACGAACTCCACGGCAGCACCGCGGCGCGGCGGTCCGCCCACAGAGGCATGACGCGCAGTGTGCTAGAAGACCGGCACAGGCGGCCAAAATTTAAGATGCATTTTCACCTGCATAGTAGCTAAATGGGGCTCGTATCGAACACGTAGCCCCGCGGAGAGCAGTCCATTGCTGCGGCCAATCGTTCGCTGCGACTCCTGTTTGGTGACTCTGTAGCTCGAAACGCGTCTACAATTTTGGCCGCCGCCACCGGTCTTCTGGCCCACTGTGCGGCGCCATGGCAACCCGAACCCCGAGGCCCTACGGCCAGCGATGCGGGCGGCGCGGTGCGCATAATACGGGCAACTGGGCGACCGCACGCGCACCGCGTCGCATCGCTCCAATGCAGTCACGAATATCATCCACATAATTGTGTCCGCCATGCAGTGCGGCCGACCCGGCTTGCCCGGCCTGCCCGCAGACTGATTCCGAGAGTCGTTTTCGTCGCTCTGTCTCTCTCGCACCTGGACGGGACGCCCCTTGAGTGCGAGAGAGACAGAGCGACGAAAACGACTCTCGGAACTAGTCGCTGGCTAGCCACACGGCCCCCGGCTTTCGCGTGGTCATCGCAATTTGTCCGGCCAGCCCGGGCAGCCCAAGCAGCTCAGGCACCGGATTGCTTCAAGGTTCAAGGCTCCCTCACGGTGTGCCCCGCGCATAGTTCAAACCGCAGGGAAATATAATGACTCCGCTGCCTGAGCCGGTCGAGTCCGGCTGAACTGCAGAGCAGTGGCGCGGTGTCTCACATGGCTGCGCTGCGTCGCTGTCGCTGCCTCACAGTGGGCCAGAAGACCGGTGGAGGCGGCCAAAACTCTAGACGCGTTTTGAGCTACAGAGTCGCTAAATGGGACTCGAACCGAACGTGTGACCCCACCAATGGATTGCTCTCCGAACGAGGAATCCGTTGGTGGGGTCACACGTTCAGTTCGAGTCCCATTTAGTGACTCTGGAGCTCAAAACGCGTGTAGAGTTTTGGCCGCCTCCACCGGTCCTCTGGCCCACTGTGTGCCTCCACGCAACGGCGGCCATGGCGGTGCCTGCATCGCCCGCCCGTCCCGCTGCCAGCACTCCCCCGCCTAGAATAACGCCCAGCGGACGGCCGGCGGCCTGGGCCGGGCGCAATCAGCATTTTAAATCGCTTTTTCGAATTTACGAGAGTGAGTTTTTTTCGCGTGGTTCTTCTTCGCGCAGCGCTGCGCCGCGGCGGCGGCGGCGCCGTTGCTTCCACGGACAGTGGAGCGCGCCGATGCGTGACTTTACGATTTTCTGCTGCTTCAATTTTGTCTTACTTTTTTTTCGGTGATGTTTTTCTTGTTAGTGTAGTGTGTTGCCCCTAACAAGAGTTAAGACTGGCCCGCATTTCTTGCTAATAAATACAACGTTGTTTCGGAATCTATTTGGACGCCGGACTCGCGTCTGGAATACGAAGCAGCCGCGGAAATGAGAGAATGGAGAATAGTCGAGTCGCGAATGTCTCACTCGCCCCGACGGCACCGCCGCTGCTGACACTTCTTGGCGTGAATGGAAACCGAAAAGTGCGCACGGTCGTGCCAGTGGATCGACAGGGCGCTGAAACGCGCGGCGGCAGCGGCGTCTCCAAAACTTACGGTGGAAGGGACGCGCGTGTCGCAGCCAGAGCGCTGTAAATCGAGTGCTTCTCCCACCCTCCGGCGGTGACTACACTTTATCGACTCCCCAAAGGCGGTGCAAATTCTGAGCGATTTTACCGCATTCTGATGCCATTCGTACCTAGCTCGGAGTTTGGAGCGCCTTGCGAAACCCGAGTAGGCAACCCGCTGGCGCTGCTGCAGGAGGGTTGCCTATCCCGGCAGCCAAGACCGCCTTACGGAGCCCGGGTAGGCAACCCGCTGGCACTGCTGTGTGAGGGTGGCCTACCCCGTGCCGTGCCGGCGCTCGCCGTGCGACGTAGGCGATGACTTAAGAGGCTGCAGCCGATGTGGGTTTCCAGAGGAGGCTCACAGTGGGCCGGAACACCGGTGGGGGTGACCAAAGCTCCAAAAGCGTTTTGAGCTCCAGAGTCGCGAAGCAGGACTGGAACCGTACGTGTGACCCCACCAATGTTCCTCGTTCGGAGAGCCATCCTTTGGTGGGGTCACACGTTCTGTTCGAGTTCTGTTCAGCGACTCTGGAGCTCAAAACGCGTCTACAGTTTTCGTTACCTCCACTCGTCTTCTGGCCCACCACTGTGAGGCTCTCGGCGTCGGCGGCTGCCTTCCCTTCCGCGCCTTCGGGCCGCGCCGCCATGCCGTGAGTCCACTGGGACGCAGCCTTGTGGACGGGCAATCAGGGTAATCACGCCCACATCAACAACAACAACAACAACAACAACAACAACCTAACAGCAAGAGGAACATGTGCGACGAGGACGGCCGCGTGACACGAGTGGCGGTGAGCATACAGAAACACGTTTCCAAACACGCCAATCTCTCTCTCTCTCTGTCTCTGTTGCCCCGCATGGTTCCCTTCACATTGTGTCGCTGTCTCTCTCTTCTTTTGAGCTCATCGAGTGCGGTCGGTGTCCATGTCCGCGGCGGCGGTCCTGCTCGATGGACCTCTTTTCCTCTTGTGTGTGTGTGTGTGTGTGTGTGTGCGTTGTCGTGACGGCCGCGGGCGAACTGGCGGCGTTCCGCGCATCGTTCTGATGGTCGTGACGCGCGCGCTCCGAATCGCATGACTACTGTAATGATACACTGCCTCTGGTGCGGTTAGGTTAGAATAATCGTTTGCGCTCCGATAATTACCCTCATAACATTACCATTATCGTTTTCTTCCGTCCTCCTTGTTTGTTTTGTCTTGGCGGTTTTTTCTTCCGCGTCGCGCAGCCTCCGCCCCACTGAGAGTGAGATGAGCCGGGGATAACGAGGTCGACTTGCTCGCGCGCGAGGCTCCGGAATCGCTGCCCTTCGTTAGAGTCGTCACACGGTGTCGTCGCACGGTGTCGTGGAGAGGGGCTCGTTACTGCTCGTCGCCAAGTCGACTTCCTGCGGAGGCTGAGAATCCGTCTCCCAATCGTGGGAAAAAAATGTGTCGATTTCAGCTAGAATATCCTAAAAGGAAGTGCAGGGGCGCCATATTTGCGTGCCGCCGCGCCCCGCCCTGAACCACCCCGCCCCGCCACGCCCCGCCACGCCCCGCCACGCCCCGGGCCCAGCGCCTCGCTTGCAAGCCCATTGGCGTGCGCGGCGCGGGCGCCCCCTGCTCACTGGCTCGCTGCGGCTCGCTGCGGCCCGGCCTGGCTCCTCCCACGGCGGCGTGGTGGGGGCGGCCGGGCGGCGCGGCGCTTGGCCGGGGTGGGCGGGGTGGGGGCGGCCGGGCGGCGCGGCGCTTGGGGGGGTGGGCGGGGTGGGGGCGTCCGGCGCGACGCGCTTGCCAAGCGCATTGCCGCCTGCCTCGCCGGCATGGCGATGGCGCGGGAAGCACACTGCGCACTGCGCGCTGCGCGCCGGGCAGGGCAGTGTCTCGCCTGTCCGGACTAGGGTCCCTAGTCCGGACTGCCCGGACGCACTGCGCCGCCGCCGCGCGCACCGAGGCAGAGCAGGCCGCGCAGGCAGGGCGACGCGGCAAGATGGCTTGGATTCGCGACGCTGTGAATGGCCGCTTCTCGCTTCTTGTGTGGTGGTGGTGTGCCGCCGTGGCGTGCTCGCTCCACCCGTGAGACGGCCACCCGCTCCGGAGATGCCTCTCCGGACACTTGAAAAACGTCGGAGGATCGAATGAAACGATTTTTCTGGGCCATAAAAAGATAGAGGGGCAGAGCTTACTGTTCTCTTGACTGTTGGCAATAGAAGGCACACTCCAATTTTCTTACGGAGAAATAGCGTAAGCATGAAACGAACGTACTTTTTCTTCTCATCACGAAGGTTGTTCTTTGTATCTAACTATCAAGTAAATGTGCTAATTTAAAAAACGTGCTACGGAGAAAGATTTTTTTGCTTAAACGAACTATAACATTGCTCAAATTTTTATGGAAGACATCTAGAGATTGACTGATGCACTAATGAATCAATGCAAGAACGAATTAATACATGAATGACTCACTGAAAGAATAAATGAACGAGTGAATAAATGAATTCAATGAGTTAATGATAAATGAACTAATTGAGTTGATGATGAATGAATTAAATGAGTCAATCATAAATGAATTGAATGAGTTAATGATGAATGAACAAAATGAGTTAATCATGAATGATGAATGAATGAATGAATGAATGAATGAATGAATGAATGAATGAATGAATGAATGAATGAATGAATGAATGAATGAATGAATGAATGAATGAATGAATGACCTAACCTAGCCTAATGCTGGGGGAATGCCAGTCGAAAGATGAACGTCGTGTGACTGTGTCGCTGCTCCCTCTGCCAGCGACGCGTCCTGCGTGCGCCGCGGCCGGCCCCTGGCTGCCCATGCAGGCCGTGCGCGCCGTGCGCGCCGTGCCCATGCCGGTCGTGTTGGCGGTGCCGCCACCGGGCGCAGCACCGTCGCGGTGCTCCTCAAGGACCTGCCGCCGCCCTGCCGCCGCCCAACCGCGCCTGCCTGCACCCAGCAGGCCCCGCCCCCGAGGCGACCGCCCCACCACGCCCCGCCACGCCCCGCCAAGCCCCGCCACGCCCCACCCCGCGCACCTGCCGCTCCGTGGCGAGTCGGGGCGAGGCGGGGCGAGGCGCTGGGTCCCTCAGTCCGCACGCCGCGAGCAGCTAGGGCACAGCCAAGGCGCAGCCAAGGCGCAGCCAGGCCGTCCTCGTCCTCCCAGCGCCGCGTCCCAGCGCCGCGTCAAGCCGGCGCCGAGTCGCTGTAGTGCCGCCAGTGTGACCAGTGTGACCTGTGAAAGTGATTCAGTGACCTCAGTGACCCCCAGTGACCAGCAGTGTGAAGCTCGTTGTGACCGGCAGTGTGACCCTTCCCGCCACCGGCGCGTGCCTCCGGAACCTCCCTCCAGCCCTCAGTGTCCGCGCCTCATCATCTCCCGCAGTGTGCCATCCCCCGTGCGATTCCTGGTCGTCGCCCTGCCCGACTCCTCGACGGCGTCCTCAGGCGGCATGTCCGTGGCTGCATGACGCGCGCCCCTGCCGGCCGGAGCCCCGCCCCTGTCACCATGTTGGTGACCAGCCCGTCCACGACCAACTCTGTCACCGGGAAGTGCGTCACGGACTTCTCCGTCACCAGCATCTGCTGCGGCCTGGCCAAGGCGCCCCGCTGCTCGCCGGCCGACGACGAGGGCCCCGCCGGGGCCCCGCGGCTCCACACCGGCGTCGCTGCAGTCACCAACAACAACAATAACAACAATAACAACAACAATATCATCAGCAAAGGCGCCATGGAGCTTCCCTCATCCTCCCCAGGCATCTTGCCGGGGTCGTCGCCGCCGGCGCACCAGGCCCCAGGTGAGCCTCCTTCTCCTCCTTGTTCAGCTCCACGGCACAGCCGTGCAGCCGGTGTCATTGAAGCAGTGTGCTTGGTGAATCCAAACATGAATATGCCACTGAGTTGCTGGTGGCCGTGTCACCAAAGCGCTTGGCAAATCCGAACGTGAATGTGACCACAAGCAGTGCTTGGTGGACGGTGGCTCCGTCTTCAAAGCGCTTGGCGAACCCGACCGTGAATCTGACCACCAGACCTGCTACTGGCCATGTCGCTGAAGTCCTCAACAAATCCGAAAATGAATGGGCCGCTTTAGTGGTGACACCGAAGCGCTTGATGAAACCGAACGCGAATCTGAATAGTGATGCTGGTGTCGGCGAAGCGCGTTTCGGGCCGTACATTACGGAGGTGGCAGCGGGCCCTGCCGCCCTGCCCTCGCGTTTTATTGGGCCGGTTTGGTCGTCGTGTCGAACGCGACACGCGCGCTATCTATCGGCCGTCGCGTCGCCGAAGTGGCCTGGAACTGCCTGGAACGGGCCGGGCTTGAGGCCGGCTCGAGCCCCACGTGGCTCTGTCCGCTCCGGACCATTCAATAAACCGGCCTTCTTGACAGTGGTGGTTTGGGCGCGGCCGCGGTGCCGCGAAGCGCGAAGCACTGCAAGGGGTTTGTTGGCGCCGACCAACCACCTCCCTCCCTCGAGCGCGCGCTATCGCGAGCTCGTTTGTAACGGCGCGAAAATTTGAATCCCTGTGAAAGGGCAACCTTCGAAACGCATGGCGCGCCCCACCGCGCCCCAGCACCCCGACAAGTGCGATAACGCGGCGCCGGCCACCAGGGCGGTGTTTATCATTTTCACGTCTCTGAAAAAAATGGCGGCTTTTTGTTTCAAAAAATTCTTTTTCCCTCCCCCCTTGCGCGCCGCCCTGTACGTCTTGCGGACAAGGATACTTGCACGCGAACAACGACGTGAGTTACAGGGATTAGCCGAGCCGCGCCGTGCCGTGTCGAGCCGCGCCGTGCCGTGACACACGCAACACGGGGAGAACGCAGGCAGCCGACGATCCGCCTGCACCGCGCCGCCGCGCCCGCCGCGCCCCGCTCTCAATTGTTAACGCACGTACGCCCGCCGCGTCCTCCGTTGCTGCCTGCCCCGCCCCGCGGTGCATCTCAACCCGCAAAAACAGAAAAAAAATGTCCAGTCTTGACATGATTTACAGACAAAATCGACCTAAATCAAAGTTAATCTTTAAATCTTTTAATTTAGCGCAACGGTTTTAATATTCAAAAATATTGTTTTAACATTTTTAAAACTCTTCATCTTGTAACTTTTTCGTCTTAATTTCAAAATCACTAAAAATGTTTTAACCTTTTTTCAGTTTTTTCTTTTAAATTTTGGGATTTAGGCTATATCAAGTTAAGGAAATTCACAATTCACAGTTCACAGATAGGGTGAGGGGTGAGGCGGGGAGCTGTGAAGTGTGAATTGTGAATACTCCCCGCCTCACCCCTCACCCTATCTGTGAACAACTGTGAATTGTGAATTGTGAACTGTGAATTTCCTTAATTTGATATAGCCTCTAAGTGATGTACTACGTCAATATTTTGTTCACAAAATACGTTGGATCGATAAGTCGATCCGAGGCGCCGCGTGTGATATCGAGCCAGCCTCGGCCGCAGCGGCGCGCCTTTCGCGGCAGCCAGTCATTACCGACACCGGATCCATCTCTAATCCCCATTCATTTGCAGCGCGTAGCGCCGCGCGGCAGTGCGGCTACCGCTGGCCGCGCCTTCGAGTTTCAAGTGCGCGGGTTTCTCCACGCCCACTTCGTGCTCGCGTTGCGGCACGGCATGCAGCAAAACGCGCATACTACTGGATATTTTACGCGCAAAATGGGTGGATAATTAGAAGACAACCTTGTGAAACGCGGCGGCCGTGCATCCGTGGTCGCGCCGTGCGTGCACGTCCACGATATGCACATCACGAGGGGCCCGCGCGCCCTGGGAACGCCGCTGACACCGCCGACGCCGACGCACAAGAGGGAGACACGACAATCGTTATTTTAAGAGTGAAACAACAACGCTTGTCCGGAAGGTGTAGATGCACGCGCCGTCCGAAGCTGATCCGAAGCTTGACCAGTCAGAGGCTGAGGATCGAAGCTTTCGTGATGATCGCAATTGTAGAACCTAAGGGGTTTTCGGCTTGTGGCGGGACCATTAGGTTGGGGCCAAAACGGCTGTGAATGGAGACGTCCTAATGCGACGGTTTCATTTTGAATCAAAGGTAAATTTGAATTCTAGGAAAAAAATTCATCACGCCAATCAACTAACCTTAATCTATTTCGTTCATGCCCTAAATGCCTCCAAAGTGAATGGTCACGTTGGCCGGGCCGGCATCAAAACGGCCGTGAAAAATCGGTGCGTGACCGCACCGCTCGCGGTGACCGGCGATCTTGATACACTGGATATTGATGGCGCCTGGAAACAAATAAGGACTTTGACATTCTGGGGGCCTAGAGCCCTAAAAGGCCGGACAGAACAGATTAGGGGCAGCCGTGGCGTGGCGTGGCCGGTGCGGCGTGGCGCGGCTCGGGTCGCCGTCCGGGGCACCGCGGCGTTCACAATTCATTTAGCGATTACTGTGACTGTGAACCCAGGCCGCGCCTCGGCCGCGCCGCCACCACGGCGGGCGGGCACTCTCGGCAAACCACTGACTACACAACTGTACCAATTGCGGCTATATCACTTTTTAATCATGAACAGATTAAACTGTCGTTACTCTCAGGGCGCCGCTCTGCGCTCCGCTCCTCCCCGCCGCGCCGCGCTCGCCTGGCCGCCCCGCTGAAGCCGGCCGGCACTTTGTCGGCGACGTCGCACAGTGGGCCAGAAGGCCGGTGGAGGCGGCCAAAACTCTAGACGCGTTTTGAGCTCCAGAGTCGCTAAACAGGCCGCGAACCGGACGTGTGACCCCACCAACGGATTGCTCTCCGTGCGAGGAATCCATTGGTGGGGTCACACGTTTAGTTCGAGTCTCATTTAGCGACTCTGGGATCTCAAGACACGCCCAGAGTTTTGGCCGCCTCCACCGGCCTTCTGGCCCACTGTGCGTCGTGGTGCTCCGGACACCGACCGCCAGGGCACGCGCGCCGCGGGGGACCGGCAGCGGCCGAAAAATGCGGATTCGCCCGTTTTCGGACATTCCACGATCCCTCTTCATCCGGGCCCCGCCCGAGGCCCTGGGCCGCCGCCGGGCACCCGTTGGCTGCTCGGTTCTGTAACCGGTGCGACGGCGCGCCGCCGACGTACGTCAGGGAGGGGCCCTCCTGCCGGGGACCCCGCCAGGGCCGCCAGGGCCGCCAGCAGGGCCCCCTGGGGGGCTCGGCGAAGCTTCTGTGATACCCCCTGCGACGCCGACGCGGCCTCCGTGGCGTGGCGCGGCCGGCCCGCTACCAAATCGGTATCAGTAATGACGCGTCCCGTTATCGAATAGAGGCGGCAACGCTTTCTCTGTCGTTAGCAGTTCGCCACCCACTGCAACACGCACACGCACACACACAAACACATGTGTGCGTTGCTTTCGACCCCACCGTGCGTGCAAGTCTCCGCGAAGCGCGCGTCTCATTTCGTCAAACCCGGTCGCCTCGATACCCATTTGGCCTCCGCCGCCTTGAAAGCCTTCCTGCTGCCGTGTCGCGACGTCGCGACGTCGTCCGCCAACAATGTTGTCGACGTGCTGCCGAGGCCCGGGCCTCTCGGCGTCGCGCGTGCCAAAGCACACATCTCGCTCCGCCCAATGACTGTGGCGTGCGCGCCAATGGCACCGCCATGGCACCGCCACGCCAAGTGGACAGCCAAGCCTGACCTGCGCCCGCGTGAGTGTCACTGTGTGTGTGTGTGTGCTCGTAGGTGTGTGCGTGAGTGTGCGACAGTGTGCGTGAGTGTGAGTGCGAGCATATAGACAGCCATCAGAACGCCATCAGGCCGCGCGGGGCGTATCGCTTGCCCCCTTATTTATTAGGCGACTAATGAGCAGGGGGCATACGTGAGCGCGCGCCTCTGTGTGTCTGTGTGTGTGTGTGTGTGTGTGTGTGTGTGTGTGTGTGTGCACGCGCGCGCGCGCGCCTGTGTAAATGTATGTGTGTTGTGTACCGAGATAGACCTCCGGTGTAATAATTCTGATAGAAATCGTCATTGTTGTTGGAAGCCTCTGGAAATGAATGCAAAAGCTCGTGTTGTTGCTGCTGCTGCGGTGGTGGTGGTGGTGGTGATGTTGCTGGTGCACGCGTCGGTTCAATAGGCGCCCGCGCCTTCTTGCAGGGCCTGCCCCGCGTGCCGCACCGGCTCGGCTCGGCTCTGCGTTGTTCCCGACAAAACGCGCTTTATTCGACTCGGCTCGGCTCACCGGAACGGTTTCTCCGCGTCGTCGTCGTCACAACTATCGGGATGACGGGGGCCTTTTCCTTTTATTGAATCGGGCAGCGGCAGTCGAGGGCGGCGTTCAGATCGGGCGTGGAGTGGCGCGGCGTGGCGTTCCGATCGGGCGTGGTGTGGCGCGGCGGTAAATGATGGCCTGTAAATGGCCGGTGGTGGCGTGCCGTGGCGTGCCTCTCGCAGACTGGTCGCGGCGCGTTGTTCCTCGCTGTGACCGTGAGGAAGGGGTGGGGGCAGTCACCTTCCCTGGGCAGCTTCCATATGTGCTTTATTTGGAAACAACGGATTGGCAGTGAGTGAACGCGCGCTGCCGCTCTGCTCTGTAAGTGCCCCGAGGGCCCCGAGGGCGGCGTGCCCGGCCGTGCCCCCGCCGCGCCGCTGTAAGTAGCGGAGTGCTCGTTTCGCGCCAGGGCCCTGCAGGGCGGCCAGCGCGGCCGGGCGGCCTAACAACTCCGCTGGCGCCTTTGAACGCCTCTCCTGAGACGTCGGCTAGTTTGCGCAACATCGGCGCGGCAGCGCACCGATTCCGAACAGTGCTTTCGTCACTCTGTCTCTCTCGCACTTGCGGCGCATCCCGCAGGGCTGAGACGGAGCGACGAAAGCCCTGTTCGGAGTGGGCAGCCCGCAGGCCGAGCCGCCAAGCCACGCCGTGTAATTTGCCTCGTGATTTACTCGTCGTTGTTTGCGCGCGTTTTTGCGGACGACCTCCTCGGCCGCCTCATAGGGCGCCGTGTTCGACGTCTAATCGCCAGCGAGAAAAAAAAAATCCCTCATTTTTCTGTTTTTGCCCGTACCTATTCCAGCGCCGCTGCGGGTGTGATTGCACGCGCTGAACCGGAATTCTGACTTACGTGTCTGCTGCGGGCGAGCAAGCGTTTAGACGACCACCGAGTGCGAGGGGAGCGTACAACAAATATAATGTAATCCGGACTGGCAGAGAGAAAAATTAGGAATGAAAACAAAAGGCAGTCAGTGAGTGGCTGTCGGGCGTCGGCACACCGTCGGCACGCACGCGCTACCAAAAGGCGCATGAAATGTTTGTAATTACTCCCCCCGCGATCAGCAATCTTATCCACGGCATGCAAATTAACTGCTGAAAAATAATCTTGAGGTCTAGAGAATACCTTTTTGGGATCAAAATTACCTGCGATCTTTGGGAAATTTCAAAAACCGTGGAGTCGTCATTCTAAAAGACTTTCCGGGAGGCACAGTACGAATCCGATACCGTTTTAAAAAACGAGGCGTTGAAATTTCCGGCGGAGCTTCGAAACATTTTTTTCCGTAATTACCCTTACTTTTTAACAGTGGAAGTCGGGAACATTTCTTTTCTCTTGCGATTGTTGGCCTGCCGAATGCAAAACTGCATAAGAGCTTGCACACGCTCCGCGCGCCTTTGCACCCGCTCTTGCCGCTCTTCTCAAAATTCATGGCTGCGCCGCGCTGCGCCGCGCTGCGCCTCGTCGCCTCGTCGAAGGTCCAGCTGCTGGACGTTGGGCCCGGTGGGGCCTCGGCGGCCGTCGCCTCGGCGTGGCGGTTAGCACGCGAGCCCCGTTCCCATGCTAATTCGGCGTATTTTTACCGCGGTGCCCAAAACGGGGCCCGGCCGGCCTCTCCCCTGCCCCCCTTAGCGAGCGAGTTGGTCCGAGGGCGTGAAGAACAACGATCGCGCCGCGTTTATGCAGTGGCGGCAATCAAACTTTTATGATATAAAAAAGATGTTATAAAAAAATATTGGTCGCGCCTTTCCCACACGGTTTATGTTACTTCGGCGGCACGGTACGCGACAGATATACGAGCGCGTGTCTCTTCGTCGCCTCGGCGCCCGAAACAAATCATCTCTCTCGGCACACCGCAGAAAGTAAGCGGGAAAAAGAGGTGGCAAAGGTACAAACGGTTGGTACACACCGCGGGGCGCGTCGCTGAGCGTCGCTGAGCGTCGCGGTGCATAAAATAGCCCTAATCGCTTGAATTATGGCGCGCAAGTTTGAATACGCTGTCGCGCGCGTTCGCGTCCGGGCCGCGAGCGGGAATTCACTGGGATGAGAAACAGTTACCGGGCGACGCGCCGCGACGCGCTGGGCAGGCGGCCAACGGCTCCCGGGCAGAACACTATAATATGCCGATATGGACGGAACCGGTCGCCGGCCGCAAAAATGCGCGCAGACACACACACACGCGCGCGCGCGTGGCATTGGTCGCGGGAGCGCAAATCTAGACGGGCAAATATGTTATGACTTGTTTCGACCGGCGGCCGAGAGGTGTCGTGCCTTGTGGCTCTCTGCAGCGAGCTCTGCAGCGCCTTGTGGCACCGGGCCTAATAGAGACGCGCTGCTATCCGGGACTTATCCCTCTTATCCCGGTAGAGTGCGCTGCGGCGCTGCCAACATTCCGATTGGCCGAGAC